AACTCTGGGCCTGGGTGCTGTCCCTCAGCTCTTCAGCTCAAGGCAAGCTCTCTACCACTTGAGCTACAGCGCCACTTCCGGTTTTCTGGTGGTTTTATTGGAGATAGGAGTCTCACGGTCTCTCCTGCCCGGGCTGGCTTTGAACCGCGATCCTCAGATCTCAGCCTCCTGAGTAGCTAGGATTACAGGCGTGAGCCACCAGCGCCCGGCCATGCACAGAATTTCTATGTGTGGCAAACAGACATGCACTTCTTGAAGTCCCTTTTGACCTATTTTATGAAATAGCACAATTGCAAATTATGAGTTGTTCAAGTAGCTGAGTAGCTGAGGGAATTTGTAGATGTGTTTGTCTGTCTGTAGGCACATATGTCCCTAAATCTGTTTTCTTTCCTTGGTTATTTCACACTCGTGACCTTCCTTTTGTAAATATGAAGTCATATGTCATACAAATCTTGCTTTCTTTTAAATGAAGCACTGTCTAGAGAAGGCAATTCATGAGCACAGCACTCCCTGCTTCAGGTTGCAGAACAGTTGTGTGTTGCCAGGAGAGGAAGAGGCTCTCAGGAGAAGCAGCATCCTTTGCATTGGTCGAAGCAGGTTTCTCTTTAGTCAGCTCCCTTCTGAGCATCTCAGATAAGTGGTCCAAATTACATCTAAGGAAAGTCCACCAAAGCATAATTACCTGCCGTCAGGGTGCCGCAAATAATGGAAGGAAAGGAACAGTGGAAGTGTATTGTAGTCATCTTAATCACCATCATTTTAAAACGCTGATGCAGGATTCACTTCTTCAAGAAAAATTGTATGGCTTTGGTGGTAAATTAAGCATATTTTCTAAACACCAAATTATATTTCTTGTACATTTGGCTGAGAGAAGCTGACTAGATGGAACACAAGAGAGAAGGTTTGCAGCTGCCATTTTCAGACAATGCGGTTATTCTTTATTCTTCAGTAGCTTCCTGTGTTTCTACTCATATCAAATTCAGCCCCTAAGATAAATGTTATGGGAGTTTCTATCTATGCCAGATTCTGGCAGATTCCTTACTTTATTTTGCCTCACCTGTCTTTAAATTTTCTTTTACCCCTATCCAAGAGCTGAGCTTGTAGAGAATCAATAGGCTATTAGTAGGAGAAAAAAAAAATTGAAACTGAGCAAATGAAGTTTGACAACAAGCTCAACCATGGAGAAGGCATGGAGAGTTTGCTTAAACTTGATATGACTTGGCTTATTCACCTATAGAGTGAAGATGAGAAGACCTGACTTACGAGAATCAGATAACCAGAGCATATTTTCTAGGTCTATACTTGATTAATAGTAGTAATTATAAAGGAAAGAAAAAGATATTTGTATAGACTATTGGAGAGGCAGTGTGAAAAAGTGCCCATCACATGAAAGCATCTAACTTGAAGGTTAGAACCATCAATCATCTTCTGTTTACAGTTTGCTTCTTCTCCATCACAGGAGCTTTTGTGATAATCCTCATTGTTTGTCTCTGCCACCACGCCTATGGCCATTTGCTGTCTTTGTACTCTTCCTCTCTCTTTGTCTACATCCATCCATCCATCCATCCATCCATCCATCCATCCATCCATCCATCCATCCATCTATCTATCTATCTATCTATCCATCCAGCTAGCTAGATATGTGAATCTTGCCTTTCTCCTTACAGACAAATAGGTATAGAAGTACTCATTGCTAGAACAAAATTTTCCTTGATGATTCAGTGAGTCTGAAGTTGAGCTGCAGGCTTCCCAATTCATTATGCCTGTAAAGCAGAGACCGGCGTTTTTTTCAAGATACATTTTAACCTTTGTGGGTTATATAGTTTCTGTCTTGATGATTCAAATCTGCTACAATTGTGGAGAATAAGATAAAAGCAATGGGTAGGCAATTAAATATGGCTATTTTGAGTAAAACTTTATTTGCAAAACATGGGACAAGGTGGTTTTCAACTATGGACTATATTTTTCCAGCCCTTTGAAGGTAGAGAGATGACTCAAGTTACACTGGGGTTTAAAGGGCTTTACCAGTCTTGTGTTTCCTGAGGTGTGCTCCACAGAGGCTGGTCACCCTGCAGCCGAATGTGTATTGGAACAAGTTTACCCATGTGAGGTTACCCTTATGCTGTTCTTGTAGGATTAGTTACATAATACTCTTAAATGAGGCATATTCATGATATTAATTCTGCCACTTCATGCATATGAGAGGTCTTTCTGTCTTCTAGTATCTCCATTTTTTTAATCTAGTTTTTTCTTTGAATACTATTGTCAGTGGAACTACCCTCTGGTTTACTGGTTTCTTTCTTATCCTGTTCCTTTTTGTTATAGATAAACTGTAGATTTTTTTTTTTTGTCCATCATGGGGCTTGAACTCAGGACTTGGGCATTGTCCCTGAGCTCCTTTGGCTCAAGGCTAGTGTTCAACTACTTTGAGCCACAGCTCCACTTCTGCTTTTTGGTGGTTAATTGGAGATAAGAGTCTCATGGACTTTCCTGCTTGGGCTAGCTTTGAACTGTGATCCTCAGATCTCAGCCTCCTGAGTATCTAGGATTACAGGCATGAGCCACTGATACCTGGCAAAACTATAGATTTTTTAACACTGATTTTATATCCTCCTACACAGCTGAGTTTATCAGATATCAGAGATCTTTGTGTTATTTTGGGGTATTTAAATATAAGATCATATCTCCTGCTAATAGGGATAAGTCTACTTCTTCCTTCTCTATTTGAATCCCTCTTATTTCTTTTTCTTATTGTCCTGGCCAGGAGTTCTGGTACTATATTGAATAAAGGTGAGAAGCATGTACACCCCTGCATTATTTCTTGTGAATATGATTTCATGGTTTCCTTGTTAGCATGATGTTGCCTATAGGATTGTCCCATATAGCCTTTGTTATATTGGGGCACATTCCTTCTATTCCTTTTCTTCTGGGATTTTTTGAGTGTTGAATTTTGTCTAAAGCTTATTATGTGCCGAGATGATGTGGCTTTTGTCCCTCATCTGTTTATATCTATTGATTGTGTATTGAACTCTCGTTGAATCCCTGGTGTGATGCCAACTTGATCATGGTGTATGATATTTTTGAAAATATTATTGAAATTTGGTTTGAAAGTATTTTTATTAAGAACTTTTGTATCTATGTTCACAAGAGATATTGGCCTATAATTTTTTTTTTTTTTATAAGTTATGTCCTTTTCTGATTTGGGAATGAGGGTAGTGATGGCTTCATAGAATGAAGTTGATAGTGTTACTTCCATTTCTATTGTATGAACACATTGGAGGAGTAGTGATGTTATTTTTTTCTTTAAAGGTCCAACAAATTTCAGCAGTGAATCCATTGAATCCTTGGCTTTTCTTTGTTGGAAGACTCTTTATACTGCTTCAGTCTTATTACGTGTTATATGTCTATTTCATTGGTTTGTATCTTCTTGGTTCTGTTTGGTTAGGCCAACTGCAAAGATGACAAATTTTTTATCTCCAGCTTGACCCCTTTCCATGGCTCCAGTATTGCTAAGCTTGACCCTTCTCCCCCACTTCACCCTAGTGATTGCTAAGCCTCAATGTCCATTAGAATCATTAGGAAGACTTAGAATAATGATCCTTGAAGACACTCCCACCACTGCAGAGATCCTGAATTCACTGAGGATTGGACAGAAATATTTCCATGAAATCTCCAAGGAATTCTAATGTTGTCCATGGTTTTAAGCATACTCTAGAATTTCACTTGGTTTTGTCTATAAGCGTGTCCACTTGGATTAATAGCTAACATATAAAGTGCATAGCAGGAAATGAAACAGCCTTATTGTGCATGGGTTATAATATTTAGCATGATAGGTGGTAATACATAATAGGTAATATATATATATATAATTATTGCAGATGAATTGTACTGCCTGTTACAATATTCAGTTTAGTTTGTGTCAGTGAGATCTTTGAATAGATGTGCATAGCTGCAGAATCAAACTGACCAAGATTCAAGGATTCTGAAATGTAATGAAACTGGACGGCTCAAATAGAGGCCTGTCTCTGTGTTTATGTGGCTGTCTTGATGGAGACCATGAAGGTGGAAGAAGTAAGTAGTTTGAAGACTTTACCACCATTCTCCACCAGCTTACAAATATACAATTATTTATAATAGGAGGTTTTTATGAGACTGAAGTGCTACCTACTGCGCTGAGGTACCTTAGGAGGTTTTAGAAAAGCTATCAAATACATAGAAGCATTTAGGATAGGAAACAGACTGTCCATGAGAACAAATAGAATAAAAATTATAAAGGATTTGAGACAGTCTAATTAGTACTATTAAACACTAAATTTAAGCTTTCTGGCAGTTAAGGAAAAAAAAAGAAACACACTGAGGTACATAGTTCTATATTCTTACTAAAAAAAGCTTTTGTGTTTGCCTGTAGAGAAAAGTATTATTTTTGAGCTAAATTCAACCAATAACTTATTGCATATATCCTTGGGATAACACTGTTGAAAATGTCATCACAGTTTGCAAAAGTCATGGAAAGGCTGTTTAGTTAGTGGTGGTTGAATGAACCAGCTAAAATGTCTTTGGCTAGTAAAGCCATATCTACAGATGGTACTTCATTCCTTCATTTGTTCTTTCAACCATCTATTGCTTTTAATGGTTGCGATGAGGCTGATGTTAAGTTCTATTTCTTTTTCTTTTTTTTTAGCCTTTTAAATGAGTTGGTTTACTTTCAAGATGATACAGAATGCAAGAGTAGAACAAAGAGCAGACTCTGGCAGGAACCCAGGCTGGGTTACTTGAAATTTACAGCTGAGGTAGCAATGGCTCAGCAATGGCTGACAAACTACAGACTGAGCCACTGTAGGATTTTTTTTTTTAAAGGTTGTTCTTAATGTTCAGAGTCCTAGACAAAACTTCATTCTACCTATAGGTGGCAGAAATGTTACGACAGGAAATCCAGATGTTGAATGGGAATGGAATCAAGGGTCACCATCATCTCAGGGACAAGGAACTTTTTGCCAGATTTATTTCCCTGAGGCCTTCGCTTTCAGCTCCTCGAGTTTCTTCTGCTCCTCTTTCTGTTTCTGCTTGAAGGCCTTGTCTTCCTCATCCATCTCCTTGGCCTGCTTCTTGGGCTGCTTCAGGGGCTTCTTCTTGCCACCTTCGCGGCCGGACATGATGCCAACCGCGCCTTCGCCCAGACCCTGACCGGAAACCCCTGATGTTAAGTTCTAAGGATATGGCGATGAGTAACATCACTCTAGTTTTCAGGTGCTCACTGTGGAGCAGGAAGCTTTCCGTAAGACTGATCATTCAGGGTAGAGAGACAGGAGTCTGCACTAAAGCTCTGCGATTATTTGCATGAATTGTCATGGGAATGTAAGAAGGAGCTCAGGGCCTTTGGAGAATCAAGAAGATGAAGTTAGCTTAACCAGAATATGAACAGTGAAAACGCAACACAAGAAGAAGAGTAGCAGGAGAGGAGAAGGCATGGGACTTTTCAAGACAAGTAAACACATTACCCTTAAATTTTCTGCTCACATGGTGATGTGGGATTAGAGATTTCCATGGGAGTCATATTCTAAAGGATGAGGTCAAAGTATTGAGATGTCGTAGAAAATGATGGGTAATCACCTCCGTATTGATAGCAGGGTGTCAGGATATATATATATATATATATATATATATATATATATATATTTTTTTTTTTTTTTTGGGGGGGGTTGGCTTGGTTGTGGGGCTTGAACTCAGGACCTGGAAGCTTTCCCTGAGCTTTTGTGCTCAAGGCTAGCAATCTACTATCTTGAGCCACAGTTCCACTTCCAGATTTTAGGTGGTTAATTGAATTAAAGAGTCTCATGGACTTTTCTGCCTGGGCTGGCTTTGAACTATGCTTTTCAGATCTCAGCCTCCTAAGTAGCTTAGGGTTACAGGCTTGAGCCACTGGCTCCTGGCCGTGATTTGTTTGAAATGACAACTCCAGTAATGTAGGAAAGGAAGACAGGCTGGGAGGTCACTTAAGAAGCTATTGGTATAAACCACTTTTTGAGTGCTGAGGATCTGAAGGAAGGCGATGGTAATGGCAATCAGGAAGCAATTGACATTAATGCAGGATATTGACTTGCATGGCTAGGTTAATGGGAGAGGGAAAGGAAGAGCGAGAATCCAAGTAAAATTTCCTGGCTTAGATAACTGGGCACTTTGTAGCACCATTTATGGAGACTGGGCAAAATTCAGAAGAATCAGGTTTGTGGGTAGGAAGCGAAAAGTACAAGTTGGCACAGATGAGTTCAGTTGATACAGGAGAATTCCCAGTTGAGATCTGAGCAAAGTAGATTTGGAATTTGCCTGCCTTATGGATGGCAGTTTAAGCAGTTATGTTAAGGAGACATCTAGGCATGTAACAACTGAAGAGAGACCAGTTTGGGACTCTGAGAAACATTTACACTTAGAAGGCATGTAGAGATCACAGAGAGACAAGAGGCATGTGACCATAAACTGGAAAAACAGAGTGTCACAGACCAGATAATAGATATGCACAACCACCTAACGAGGTAATTTGGAAGAGACACAGAAACCAAGTGTATGTTAAACTGTCTCTGTGAAATAGCATTTGTGTCAGCTGGATTTTAGTAGGTGTTGGCTGTTGGCTCCTGGGCTGAATTTTCTTTTCATTTTTTTTCTGTTTTAAAATGCAATTAAATTTATTTGATTTATTTATATTGTCATTAAGTAGTTGTACAAAGGGATTTTTAACTGAACGTGTCAGTTTGTGAGGATGATATCTCATGACCCAGTCACCCAGTTTTGTATGTCAGATCTCAGGTGTAGTACCACTGCGTCAGAAAAGCCTCTCCTGTCTAATCTGAAGTCCAGCTCTCCCAGGACTGTCTATTTGAATCCCTGAGTTTGTCCTTTATAAATTGGGTAAATTGATATTTATTGCCTGCCCTCAGACTCTGCAGACCCAAATAAAAGTGCGCTTTGAGTGCGTGGCCAAAAAAAAACCCCAAACCAGACAAACAGGCATCATTACATATTTGTTGAACAGGCCGAATGATCTTAAAACAAATACAGTTACCCATGTTTAATTTTTATTACTTCTTTGATCTTCTGTTGTTTCCCATTTATTATGCCAAGTGATTAATTTTAAATAAATCCTTTCAAGTTCATTATGTGGAAAAATTCCAAAGATGACATTTTACTCCTTCAAAGGAGGCTCAGCCCTGGAAACAAAATGAACACACCAAGAGGCTATTTTAGAGGAACACTTTGTTTCAATTCATGTCAAGGGAACCAGCTGAAGCCGCAAAGCTATGTATCTCAGTCTTTGTGTAACCTTGTGGTTGACTTTTAAGAAGTGAACTGTGTGAGTAATTTTGCCCCTGTACTTTGTAATATGGCATATCATAGAATTCCAGGGTAACAAATGCTTTAGAGCGAGAAGGCCAAACTGTCTTTGACTCAAGAGCCTTAAGAAGTTATAATGCTGGGCACCATAGTGCACACCAGTGGTCCCAGCAACTTGGGAGGAGGAGGTATAAAGATTGTGGTCCAAGGCTAGCCCAGGCAAAAGTTAGTGAGACCTCTCAAAAGCAACCTAAAAGCTAAAGGATTGAAAGTGTGTTCATGATAGAATAGTAGGCATATAAATAAGGTGCTTCCAGCACCAAAAAAGGAAAAAAGAAAAGGCAAAGAAAGCATGAGCCTAGCTATGACTTTTAGAGACTGTACTCTGATACATTTTAGGTGACTTTCCATTGGAGTCTAGTCTTTGAAGGCCCTGTGGAGGAGCTCAACACTGTACTGCATGGATCAAAACGAGTTACTTCAGAACTGAGGTGTTGCCAGAAAGCTGAAGGGAAGGGTTTAGCCAGGATGTGGTGGTGTTCACTGCCACGTGGAAGGAGTTCAGGGGAGAGGATGCAGGATGATGGAGCGGGGTGGTGGGTGTGTACTGTGTCCCAGGGAGTCATTTGAGTGCTATACACAAACAGTAGGAGTGTTTGTCACAATCACGCTGACTAGTGAAAAATGCCTGTGAAAATACACCTGTAGCTCGATATACGAAGAAGAATCTGGATGATGGGATGGATGATATATTTTAAACCAGAAGGTTCAGGCATTTGTTAGTCTACTATGGCTGCTGTAACAAAGGCCCGTCATATAAGTGGTCTCATGAGAGAGATGTGCGGCTTTACATTTCTGTGTGTCTAAAAGTTCTCATAATGGGGCAGGGGGCAAGAGAAAGATCTGTTGCAGGCCGCCTCCTTGGCCGGTTTGCAGCAGTGACCATGTTCTTTCTGTGTCTTTACATCGCCTTCCCTCGGTGTCTATTTCCAGCTGTTGCCTTGCAAGAACATCGTCTGCATTGAGTTGGATGGAGGATCTCAGATTAACTTAGTTACTAATACAGAGACCCTGCCTCCACACAAGGTCACTCTCCGAGAAGACGGTGTAAAGACTTCATCATATAAACTTTGGGGGACATCATCTCATTATATTTTTGTGATTGATTTAATCATATGGAATATAATAAGATAGAAAATAAAAAGGACATTAGATCAAAATTGTTTGCTTCATCTGGCTATCGGCTATGTAACATAGTGAAAAAAAACCCTAGTATTGTCATTTAACGCAATCTCCATGCACTCTATGTATGCTATATTGTGTGATCCATGTGAAATGCTAATAAAATGATGTTTTAAAAAGGAGCTAATTAGTATGACTTTCTAAACTGGAATTTGTCTTGGAGCAGTTATTCAGCCTGAACTAGCTTCCCCTGTTATAAGCGCCCTTTTGGAGTAGACATTTGTCATTAATAATTTAATACTGAATACTAGAGGACAAACTTTGAGCAGAAGGGGCTGTATGCGCTCATGAAAGTTAGAGCTTATGATATGTTGATTTTTTTTTATGTTTCTCTTGCTTTGTCACTAATGAGGTCCAAAGTACAGGACTGATAGACTTTTTATTTTACTTATTATTTAGTAGCCAGGCCACATTTTAATTTCACATTGAATTGCCCCCAAAATAATAATTTTTTTTTTGGTCCGGTCGTGGGGCTTGAACTCTGGACCTGGGCACTGTCCCTCAGCTCTTCAGCTCAAGGCTAGCACTCTACCACTTGAGCCACAGTCAAAATAGTAAATAATTTAAATGTAGCACTGTTATCTAACTGACAAAATACCACATTGTGTTTTCCCCTTAAGTTCTTAGCTGGGTTTTGAAAGAGCCTCATGTTTGTTTTTGTTGTTGTTTGTTGCTTTTAGAATGGTGTAGGGCTGGTTTGCCAGGGAGGAGGGCACTGCATAAATAAAAGCCAATGTGCATACATCTGTGCCACCATTATCTGGGGTTTCTCGCTACTCTTTTTATATCTCCTGTGGACGTAATAATTCTTACCTTTAGGTAAAGGTTATTCTGCAGTTTCTCATGGCCATTAGTGATGGGCTCTCTGCTGTTGAGCCCACGGAGTGGATATGCCTCCTGGTGTCTCTTGTCTCTTCTGTGCCAGTTCTTCCCATCAGTCCCCTGTGGTGATTTTTTCCAGCACGTGGGTTCTCACTCTACCTGGTGTCCTCATTATTGCCAGGGAGGCCTCCTCTGCCTGACCGCTGATGTGAGCCAGTGGCTCATGCCTTTCACTTCAGTAGCTGCTGTAGGACAGGCTCCCAGTCCCCAAGGTTAAACAAATGGCGTGACTCCCTGTGCAGGCCCACACTCCCTCAAATGGATTACATGGATTTTGAGATGTAGTCTGAGAAGGCAGACTCCAAATTGGCAGCCATTCATTTCTTTCCCCTGGTGTTCAGTTAACTTGTAACATGACTAGGATGGATTTTATTTAAATGTAGTTTGGTTAAATCTCAGCAGAAATAGTTAAAAAATTCAAGCGTACAATTTTTTCCTACAAATTATTCTTTTTTTTGCGTATAACCACAATAAATACTTGTCATGACTCGAGTATGTTTAGGTGTTTCTTTTTTAATGTTTAGATTTTGTTTTTGTTTTGCCAGTCCTGCGGTTTGAACTCAGGGCCTGAACTCTGTCCCTGAGCTTCTTTTGCTCAAGGCTAGTGCTCTACCACTTGAGCCACAGCACCACTTCCAGCTTTTTCTAGTAGAGCTTATTGGAGATAAGAGTCTCACAGACTTTCCTGCCCATCCTGGCTTCAAACTGTGATCCTCAGATCTCAGCCTCCTGAGTAGCTGGCATTACAGGTGTGAGCCACTGGTGCCTGACCCTGTGCATTAAACACATGGACAGACAGTCTCTCAAAACTCTGTCATATTTCTTACTTTCTGTCTAGGAGTCATTTACAGTCTTGAAATTATTTGTGGAGAAAGATGAGACTTCAATTTATGTGTACATGTGGTGTCACTGAGAAATTCCATGTTCTCTTCTTTCCAAACAGACTGCTTTTGAAAGGTATCAGGATCTATTTATGAAGATTTTCTTGCATGCTTAAAGAGACTACCAAGCTGTGAGTCTGAAATATGACTGAATAAATAATCTGGCAAATTTCTTAGAGAAACAAGAAAGACCAATGATCCATGAAATCACAGTCCTTATTTAAGACCCATGTTAGGAATATGTCTCAGAAAGATTCTGGTAATAGCTGTTTTTATAATGTACCTCATGTGACATGAATGCAAAGCTAGAAAGGGTGGGCAAATGTCATACTATTAGTTGTGTATATATGCAAATTAAGCTAGATAAATTGAGGGGTGGATAGGGTTGGCAGGGACTGGGAAGAATCACGAAAGGGGTGACATTAATCCATAGCCATTGCACTCAGAGACTGACGTATGGAATTGCAAATCCTTTGTAGAACTACTTAGGGATAATTAAAATATATTTTTAAGCCCTGCTTTTAATCCTTCTCTGGGTAGATTGTCACTGTCCATTTGGTAGTGACTTCTCTGACCTTTCTAAATGATCTCTACTAGAGAAACCAGACATCCTCCATGTCAATCATAATCTGTGGTAAATTATTCACAAAATGGTTCTCTGGTGAGTTATAATGTCTTTTACAATTCAATTGCAAGATCGCCATAACATTTATTCTTTTCTTATGTCTTTGTGTTTTGGTATGTCTTACATAAAAGGTACCTAAATAGAATTTTTATTCTCTAAACAGCCTACTTAAACAAGCTTTTTTTCCTACCTTAAAAATTCTGATACTAAAAATTGCTTAAACTGTCACTCACATTAAAGGATGATTAGAGGTAAGATAAAATGAACAAAAAGGCACTTTTAAAGGTGTCAGATTATTCTCTTTGGAACAAATTTGTACAAGTTTACGTACTGTTGAGAAGTGACATCAGACATCTTGCTCCCTGCAGCATACCGGGTGGAGGGTGGCCTGAGATTGGAGGGGCAAAGGGCACTGGTGCCGTCTGATGAGGTTTGCTGGTACCCATGTCCGACATCCTAGCTAAGTGAATTCTTTGTTTTCCTCAAAACAGCAGCATCCACATGCCTTTTCTTTCAATAAGAATAGCACTGTCCTTCACAGCCCTATAAAATGCAAGTTTCTCTCTGCCAGACCGAAAGGCAAATTATATTTTAATACTTCTTGGCCATCATGTTAGAGCCACAATGCTAATAGTTGGCCCATGTATTCTTGTTAGAATTGTGCCAAATATCTGGCTGGGAAGCTGTCCTCGCCAAGTGGAGCATGTTACCGTCAAGCTGAAGCATGAACTGGGGATTACAGCTGTCATGAATTTCCAGACGGAATGGGATATCGTGCAGAACTCCTCCGGCTGTAACCGCTACCCAGAACCCATGAGTCCAGACACTATGATGAAGCTGTATAAGGAGGAAGGCTTGGCCTATGTCTGGATGCCCACAGCAGACATGAGCACTGAAGGTAAAGATCAGAGGAAGACTCTGACCGCATTCTAGGAAACGGTTATTCTTTGTCTATGTCTGTCTGTCTGTCTGTCTCTGTCTAAACATCGATCTATCCATCTATGTAATCTATATCCCTACTTAGCTATAATTCAGTGTCTTAAATGTGAAAGGTTGAAATGGAGCAAATGTAAAGTATTAGAATGAATACATTGAATACATATCTCTTAACATCTTGACTCAGATTCTGTTTATTCTGGCTTCCTTAGTTTATTCTGGCTTCATCAAATAGTTCATTGTGTAACTTCATGTATGTGTGGCAGTACCCCGGTGTCCGGGAACAGGATGGTAAAGAAAGGCAGGCACCATGGCCGTCGTAAAGCCTTGTAGTCTTGTAGGGACGGCCAGTATTAAACGCACAAGTAAAAATGGAAATGGAAAGGTATGGTACATGCTGGTGTTAGAATGATACAAAGATGTTGCTTTGAGAAAACCCAGATCATCTAGGAAGCTTTCCTCAGGAAGTGAGGCTTGAGTAGGAGCCCAGGTGACTGCAGGGGTTGGGGCTGATGAATCATCCATCACTGACTCTGCAAGTACTGGACAGGAGGCCTTTGAACAGGGAATTAGTGTGTGGTCATTCCTGTGCTGCTGGGGAGGCAGAGTTCTGATCTAAAGGCAGAGATGAGTTCACAACGTACTACCACAAAGAGAAGAATAGACGTGATAGAATGAGCAATGTGCTCTGGGAGGGTTAGAGTTTTGGAGGAGCACAGTGAGGCCAGGCAAATGCCTTGTATTTCAGATGGGCCTGGCTTGGGTAGGGGGAGGTGAGGGGAGAAAGGATATGTTTAGTAGATTAGTGACCCAGAAAGCATGGGATTTTAGAGGGACAATATGTATGTCAGCTTGGTTATAGATTAGGGTATATTATTCAATGTTGAGTGGGTAGTGGTAACTGTAGCTGACAGTTACGCTGATAGTGTCAATGGTATGTCAGCAGGGGGCAGCAGAGAGCTGTGGAAATTTCATAGGCAGAGGTAGTTTGGTAACCTGTTTCTGAAAAGGCAACAGGCTTCAAAGTGAAGCCCAGACAGGGAATCAGGAAACATTGTACCATCAGCCCTTCCTACCCAGCAAATGCTTTCCTAGGCAGCTTACATGCATGCATGTAACTAATTCTCCTAAGGTGGCTCTGGACAGACCTTATAGTTAATTCCATTTTCACAGAGGAAGAGAGTAAGGGGCAAAAAGTTAAGTAAGCTTGACCAGGTAATAGAACTAAAAAGACACGCAGCCTGGATTTCAAGGCCTGCAGTCTTGAGCCAGAGAATTGCCCCAGATACAACACTATGAAATGTCTCCCTACATTCCCAAACATACTCTTCAGGCGCATTCCATAGATGGACATAGTTTCAGTCCATAACACCCATGATAAACTAGAGTTTTATGCAAGGGTTCAAGCTGCAGGGGAGGTTGCTTATTTCTGGAAGAGTCTGTGGTCGGCAAGACGTTGCACCTCGAGGACCACAGGGAAGCTCCTCCTTGGCCTCTTTTGGGCCTCAAGTGGTCCCATTGGCCAGACTGGACCCATTACCACTGAAGATGGGGGTCTAATTGTTATTCTCAGAGATGGGGAGCTTTATGGATAGCTTGGTTATTTCTTTTTGGTAAGCTGATACAAAGAAGCTGGATTTAGTCTTAAGAGCTCTGTCCTTTCTCAAGGAACCAAAAAAACGTAGGTTGCATTTGCCTTGGCCATCATGTTTTGCTGCCTCAAGATAGATAAACTTGTTGGGATAGAAGGACCAGAGCGTCTGGATGGTAGCTGCTTCGATTCCATTGCCTGGCTACTATAGGAGACAGGCTAAGAGAAGCTGAGCTCTCTGTCTGCCACGCTATCCAGGCATGGTGGTTTTGCTGGCAGTAGGTCATTTGCTCAATGTCTTTGGGTTCTGTAGATGCCTGATGGAGATCTGTCCCCAAGGAACCCTTGTAGTTGTCTTCAATCCATTGGTGGGGTCAGGAGGTCACCAGGTCCCAGACAGCAATAGCAGTTAGTGCTGCAGGGGCCACCTTCAGTGCAGAGGCAGTGTGGCAGCACAGGTGACAGTGACACGAAAGCTTCCGTTCAGCTTAACCCCAAGGAGTTATCAAAGCATTACCGCCCACTCCCCACTCCTGCCTGACCGAGGAACATTTTACAATAGATAATCCATGCTGCTTGTAACAATAGCACTATGCACACAGAGATGAAACCTGCAGAATATTTTTAGAACTCTAGAGGAAAAAAATAAACCCACATCCCTTTGGAAGCATTTTGAGCAGCGGCATAATGCTGTCAGATGAACTCTGGGAAGGAGACTGTCTGTGAGGCTGGACTGTTCCCACTGCTTGTCACCGACTGGTTACAACTGGTTGTGTTATTGATCCTTCTAGTGCACCTTGTCATCTGCCCATGGGCGTGGCTTAGCTTCATTTCTTCTTCTTCTTTTTTCTTTCTTGTTAAAGTTTAGTCTCTCTCCTGAAAAGTGAATGTCTCCCAAATTCAGGATTCATCTGAACAGAACAAAGTTGCTCATGGAAACATCCACCCCATGGAGAGAATTCAGATTGAATTCTGACCTGGGTTCATGCAGAGCTGTGTATGATGTGTGGCCTGCCCTGGCCTCCTGAATGAGTTAGTGTGACGCTCAGTGTCCTCAGCCACCCTCTGTAGTTGGGATCACATTGGCTTTCATTCATTCAACAGACTGAGCTCAGCACTGCCACTGTGCGGGCACTGACCTTGGACGTAGGACACCTGGGCACCAGCAATGTAGTCACTGAGCAACTGTGCGACACTTACCCTGTAGCTCCTGCATTGGAAAATAGACCCAGCAATTTCTACCTCACTGGATTATAGCAATAGGGGCAGGTAACGAAAAGGCCGTGAAAGTCCTGAAGCTAGGACTATAGGATCAGTCCTCAGATTCTAAGTCTCTTCCAAAAGTTGTTACAGATTGAATGGACCTTATCCACATTAAGCTCAAAAAAAGATAGGCTCAAATGAAATAATAATATTCTCAGCCATATGTCTGCTTCTGTAGTAAGGAAAGTGTGTATGTGTGTATGTGTGTATGTGTGTGTATATGTGTGTATGTGTATGTGCGTATGTGTGTATGTATGTGTGTGTGTGTATGTGTATGTGTGTGTATGTGTGTGTGTGTTTGTGTGTATGTGTGTGTGTTTTAGAAAGGCTGAAAATCGAGCTATGAAAGATTGCACACAAAGTCAGCTGCAGGTAAAGCATTCCTGTAGGGATCATTGGCCTCCCTGTCTGAGACTCTGATGCTTTAGGAGGCTCCACATAATGTGCCCAAGTGAACTATCCTGTCTTACAACCTTGAGTTACTCAATAGGTGGATCACCTTCAGGATGCTTTCATCAGTCCAGAATTGGACCAGCCTGGACTAAGTGTGAACCAAAAATTGTGTAGAGAGGATCTGAGCAGTGACTCGCCCTTTCAGGATTGTTTGAATGTTTTTATTATTTTTCTTTTTATCTGTGCACTTAAAGAATGTTTACTGAACGTCTATTGAGCCCCAAAGCCTGTTCTAAATTCCAAAGTGAGAAACACAGATGGTAGAGTATTTTGTTTGACCTACATAAGGTTTATACAATTTCAACTCAGTTGCCAGCATTTAAAATCTGGAATCTTTTACATAAAAAGATCTGAATTTTTGCCTTATCTTGAGATATATTACTTTTTTTTTCACAAATGGAAACTTTTCTTCTCAAATTAAGTTCTCTATGGAGCTATTGTATAGGAAATCTAAACATTAGTTGCTCTGGTGGACACTGACCCTGTGATGCAGGTGTTTTATGGTGAACCTTGACCCTGAGGATCTTCTTTTTTAAAATTTACTTTATTATTAATTTTTATGCAAATCAGAACAATACCAAGATTCTATCTCACCCAAGTTAGAATGGCCATTATCAAGGAAAATTAATAACAGATACTGGTGGGGATGTGGCCAAAAGGGAACACTACTACACTGTTGGTGGGAATGTAAGCTGATTCAGCCACTCTGGAAAGCAGTATGGAGGATCCTCAAAAAACTAAACATGGACCCAGCAATTCTGCTCCTGGGCATTTGCCCAAATGACCACAAACAAAGCCATATTAAATCTACCACCACAACCACGTCACTGCAGCATTGTTTACCATAGCTAAGATACAGAATCAATCCAGATGCCCTCAGTAGATGAATGGATCAATATATACAGTGGAATTCTATGCTTTCATCATAAAGAATAATACTGGCCCATTCGTAAGGAAATGGTAAGACTTGGAAAAAATTTTATTAAGTGAAGCAAGCCAGATCAAAAGAAACATAGACTGCATTTTTTCCCTCATTTGTAATAACTAGAATTTGTCTAGGATATTCTTAGCATAGAATCACAATAGTTCAATAGCTATGCATATGACCATATAAAATGATGCTTATTGAAATGAACTCCAAGAAATGGAAACAAGAGGTTTTATTCTAGTGTACTGTTCGTGATCAGTTCTTTTTTCTTTCTGTTTTTTCCCTTTAGTTTATTCCTGCTGTCACTGTTTTTGATTTTGTATCCTTTGTCTTGTATATGTTTATCTGATTTGGGAAAGGGAAGGGGAATCACAGAAACAGTAGGACAAAGGATAAACCGATCCACCAGCGATACTCACAAGACACTCTATTGGAACTTTATAACTTGGTGAGGGAGGAAAGTGGGAGGGGTGGGAAAACAGGAGAAAATGAGGAAAGGGACAACATTGTTCAAAAAAAATGTACTCATTACCTCATGTAACTTTGAACCCTCTGTAAATCACCTTTCCAATAAAAAATTTTAAATTACATTATTGTTATTATAGAGGTGATGTCTAGCGGTGTTACATTTACATGAGTCAAGTAATAAGTACATTTCCTTTCAGTCAAGTAATAAGTACATTTCCTTGCATACAGTGTCAGCCATTCCCTCATTCTCTCCTACTCCTTCCCTCCCGTCTCTTCACAAGTTGTATACTTTATTTTTACCAATATCCAGTGTGCTCCACTATTGTACTTTTTTACCCTTTTCCCCTAGAGTTCTGTGCCCTGTGCAAAAATGCACATGTGAATACACCATTTATAAGGTATAGAAGATAGACTGAAAACTGAAAAAAGAAAAATAAGTCTTTTGTTCCCCTATCTTGGAGTTCATTTCGGTATATATTTTATAAAAATATGAAGAGGCGCTTAGGCATTGCACATTTGTGATTCTCTCCTAACAACACCCTCTTTTGATCTTACTGTATGCAAATATCTAGAATCCTATATAATTTGTCATCTCCCAATGTGTTTTAGATCTAACTTTTGCATATCAGAGAGAACATGTGCTGTTTGTCTCTCTGATCTTGGCTTACCTCACTTAACATGATTTATTCTAGTTCTATTCATTTCTCTGCAACTGACATACAGCCCAGATGCCCCACAAAAGATGAGTGGATCCAAAAAATATGGTACCTGTATACAATAGCATTTTGCCCAGGACCTTCTTTTTGATCCTTACTGGTCTGGGCTTCCTAGGAAGCAGAGAGATGGGCCCCTTGGGGTGCAGAGAGCTTCTGTAGGAGAAGTGCTGCTATGTATGGGGCATACCTCTCCCATTCAGCACAAGACTAGCACAGTAGGGCACAGAAGGACTAAGGGAGAATTCAGACTGTCAAGCTGGGGAGATGGTATCAGTAACCATGTAAGTTAGAGAAGGACCACAGTGGAGATGTTAAAGTCAGAAGCTTTGGAGTCAGTCTGGTGGGACTGAGTTGAGTGATCACAGGGTGAGTTAACTTTGGGTAAACCTCCAGGCCTCAATTCCTTTATCTAAAAACAGAGGACAACATATCACCAGCCTCACAGATGTGGAAGGGTGATTATCAAGGATCTCTTCGATGTGGAGAACTTAGAACAGCCGTTGGTGGGCAGCAAGGCCTCAGCATGTTGTCTCTCAGTCATCAAAGCAGAGTGAAGTCACTGCAGTTGTGTTCAGATACACCAGGGCTCCAGTGGGCCCAGCCTAAGATGATGGACACACTGCCCTGGCCACTTCATGGGTGCCCTTCCTAAAAATCGACCTGTCCTCTTCAGCACTGCTCCTCCATGGTCAGGCTGTGTGAGGAGGCCACGGGTGGGTGTGTCCCTGTGTGTGAAATCTATGTGAAGCTGCGAGCCTTTGGCTCATTGATGGGGTAGCTGCCATGGTTCTTTCAGAAGGATGAACCTGAGATAGGAGAACCTCAAGCCAGCATGCGTCCCTCTAACTAGTAAACTGTGTGTCAGCCTCTTGAATAATCTTTCAGAGATTAAGAAGAAAGGAAGGTATTTATACCATGAGTGTCATGGGAGAAGACTCTTCCTTGAAGCAGCTCTAGCCGGAGGGCAGGCCGAGGCCTAGGGGAGAGACCGTGACTCGTGGCAGAGCCACCTCACTGATGCAGTGTAAGCTGAGCATCAGCAGCGGAAACTCCCAGACCAGAAGCTCCTGCTGCAAATGTGACTGTGGCCTATGCATAGAACGGGCGTTTGACAAGAACCTGCCTCAACACTGTTGCTTATGTTTCCTGCCAAGGCATGGTATCCAGGGAGGGGCGAAGGGGAGGTGGAGGGAAACGCCGCTCTGGATGAGAACTTTTCAAGTGGTGTCAATGGGGGAGAAGCGGGAGGCACCTGTGCATCCCAGAGTTGCCAGTTGATTCTCTTACCACCAGAAATGTGGCAGCAGGTGTCGCACTTCCTCTCAGTAGGACTAGAATCCATGCAGAGAGCAGTAACACCCATCAAGCACATCTTAAGAGAGTTGACCTCCATTGAGCTCTACTCAGATGGTGGATCTACCACACAGTGCTATGGCTGAGACCACAGGGAGGCAATTTGCTGGCACTTCCGATCCTTTCTCCACTTTGCTGTCTCTCTCCAGGATACTTAGTGCCTCTAAGAGAGTTCAAGGAGGACGTCTGGCCAGGTCTGCTCTGCTCAGAGCATCCTGAGACTAGGCCTATGGATTTCAATGAATTAAAATTCCTAGGTTGCACATGGACCCAGACTCTCATGGAGCCAGTGTGTCTCTAATCGAGATGTGTTCAGAAACCAGGCGGAGATCACACGTTGCTAGCACTGGGCAGTAGAGGGGCATCAGTTGAGCCCCTGGGGACCACCAACTGGGCGCACCTAATCATTCCCTTGCGAACACCTCTGAACTGCTGGGTAGGGCATGCAGCTCTAGATGGTTTTGTTCGAGGGGCTGAAGAGCAGGTAGAAGGATCAGAATACTATCTTAGCTTCTCTACAGACCCCCACTCCTTCTCAGAGCATGACAAGCCTGAAGTGAGATAGAACGGTGACTGAGAAAGGGCCTTCCAGCCATGAGGGGCTCTTTTGCAAAATTACTGTTCCTCCAAGGTACTGGTACCTGACTGCAGTGTGTTGTGGCATTTCAAAAGAAGACCTAAAGAAGACGGGCTAAACTGACCAGAGTGGCTCTTCTAGGAGAAATCTGTGGTTAGGGAAGATCTGCAGGTTAGAGAGTGTGTGTGTGTGTGTGTGTGTGTGTTCTGGTCTTAGGGCTTCAACTCAGGGCCTGGGCTCTGTCCCTGAGCTTCTTTTGCTCATAGCTGACATTCTTTCACTTGAGTCACAGCTTCACTTCCAGCTTTTTTTTGGGGGTGGGTGGGTAATATATTGGAGATAAGACTCTTACAGACTTTCCTGCCTGGGCTGGATTTGAACCATGATCCCCAGATGTCAGCCTCTTGAGCAGTTAGGATTACAGGCGTGAGCCCTGGGCACCTGGCTGCAGATCAGACATTTTGGGGAAGTGGCTTTTCCCGTTTCCTCAGTCTTTGAGTGGCAATGGCAGCATGAAGCCTGCACAGGTCTCTCCTGTGTAGTCCTAGGAATAGTCTTCTGGGGCATTGTGTTCCTCCATGGAAGGCAGAGAAGGCCAAGGTATAAGAAAGTGCAGAACTATAACCCATGATTCTGTATAGGTAGTCATTTACAATGACCCTCCACCCGCGAGAAAACCAACCAACCAACCAACCAACCAAAAACCTTAACCCATGAAGTATTTCTGTAGTGAGTACGTGTGAGCAGGAATGTCCTCCTGTGTGCAAGAGTGCAAAGGATGGTTGTGAAGTGTTCCTCTGCTCTGCAGGGTTACAGGAGGAGCAGAATTAGTCAGGGCTCAGCAGGACACGGCACACCCTCGCCCAGTATAAGGTATTTGGATAGTGTAATAATTAAAATAGCAGTCCTAAAATGGTCATAACTATAGCCATAATTGTCCCATAACACAGAAATTCAATCAGGTGTAGTGCTCACAGGGTCATGAAGGAAGAAATGAAGGATTATATTATCCCACATGTACCAGCATTCCATTGCACAAAGGAAAATGAGCCTTATCTAATTGTTTCTAATTTCATTTGTCTAATCAATGAATGAGCTCAGGTCTTTAACTGATAAGGGTGAATTCTACTCAGCTGTTCTTGAGCTAGTAGGACATTTTGGAAAAGTGAAACTCAATTCCAAACCCTTCTGGAAGATGTGCAAATCCATCCTTTTGAACCACAGGCAATAATTCTCCTTACAAGGGAAATCTGCATTGATGTGACAGTCACTGAGCGGAGCAGCAGTGTCCAGAGGTTCTGAGCAGGTGTTAAACGTATCTCATCTTTTCTTGAAAACAGAGGAATGAGGCCAAGTCTCCCCTCCTGGCCTTCCCCACAGAGGGCTGGGCCTACCCCAAGCCCTGGGGGGCTCAGTTGTGGGTGCTGATGTGGAGGTTTCATCTTTCACGTGCCTGCTGTGCTTTCTCAATCCTAGGCCGAGTGCAGATGCTACCCCAGGCCGTGTGTCTCCTGCATGCTCTCCTGGAGAATGGACACAACGTGTACGTCCACTGCAACGCCGGGGTGGGGCGCTCCACTGCGGCCGTCTGCGGCTGGCTCCACTATGTGCTGGGCTGGAAGCTCAGGAAGATACAATACTTCCTCATGGCCAAGAGGCCCGCCGTGTTCATCGACGAAGATGCCTTGTCCAGGGCTCAAGAAGATTTCTTCCAGAAATTCGGGAAGATTTGTTCTCTCGGATGCACTCGGTAGCTGGCCAACCTGCTTCTCGTTCCTCTCAGTTTGTTTGCTTGTTTTTAGAGAAGTGTGAGATGATATTAATTAAGTGATCTAGCGACTGAGACCCCACCTGAAGTGTGAAGATTGGTGTGCTCTCCTCCTCCATGCCTCTTTCCTTCCTGTGAGGATGACTTTCTGTGACGTGTTTAGTGGACTATGTCTTTGAGATACTGTGCAAAGGATGCTGGGATGGCCACAGGAGAGAAAGCCAGAGGCAGTTGGCCATGCAGTGTTCTAGCACCAGATAACCAAAGCATGCACTCAGTTCCGCTGCAGAAGAGACGTTTGCCCTGCTGCTACTATGTGTGAGGGATTCAAAACAGCACTTTCTTGTGGTTTTGGCATGTTGACCTGGTTGACTGGTGGAGTTCATTACTGTAGTCTATGAGTACATGTATACACACACACAGAGCATTTTTTATTAACTAAAATGATGATCATTTGCCAAAGGGAGAAATAAAAGTAGAAGCCTGAATTATGACAAAGGAAGAGATCAATGGGGTCAAAAGTAATGGCTTCCCATTCATTATATTTTCTACATACTGCTTTCTGATGGTTAAAATGTACTTTAAGACATTGTCTTCATTATCTACCCAGCCTCCCCGTGGAACAGCAGATTTAGAGTTAGCTCAGTGTTTGCTTTAATTGAGGTCTAATGAGCATAGAGCACTTGCCCAGGGTCTGGTGGTTAGACAGGACTGAGCTGGTGTTTGTTACCCTTGTTTATCTGACATAGCGCTGTTTTCAATACAGTTTGTTCTTTCTAGCATAGTGCAGTCAATTCACTTTAATCCGTATCCAGGATAAGGTCGATACCCCTGTAGCAGTTTCTACAGTGAGAAATGAAGAGTATCCTGATCAGTTGCCAAAGAATTTAGATGAGAAGTTCTATTTGTGCAACCTAAAAACACAGTAGATGACCTACAGGCCACTGGGGCCTGAGTGGCCATAGTTCCCGAGAAGAACTGTATTATCCAAACAACCCCAAGAGCCAAAGCCACAGATTTGACTCAGCAGCTTGAGTCTGATCACAGTTCAGCTGTCAGTGTAAGCAGCTCACAGCTGCTGTTTCTTTAGAACCTGGTTTCTTTAGAACCACTGGGTTCTATAGGCTATACAAAGATGAGCAAGACTTGTCCTTCTGAGATGCAGGACCTGGAAACAGACCTGCATTGACACCAGTGTGACTGACATGGTAGAACACTGGATGCAGACGCCTTCCTTTAGTTTTTTTTTTTTTAATTTAATTTTATTTTATTTGAGAACATACTGTACAGAGGGGTTACAATTACATGGGCAGGAAAATGCATACATTTCTTACCAAGCATTGCAGCCTCCTCCTTTGTTTACCCTTCACCTCCCTTCCCAGCCTCCCCCCTCCCCCCCACCCAATCATACCCCCCCCCCCCCCACCGACATTGTAAAGCTGGTTTTGACATGACATTTTGTACTTCTCATTGTTGCAACAGGTGCAGACGCCTTCTAATAGCATCTTCATATATTAGGTACTTTACCATTTTATCTAATTCTACCTTCATAGGCTCCGGTGGGGAAGCTTGCATTATCTTTAGTATGTCCACAAGGAAGCTAAGATTCAGAGAGGTGAAATCTACTATCCATTGTCACGTGACACACAATACAGAGCTACATTTGTCTGACTCAAAACCCAAACTTTAAAAGTTAAACTAAAATGCCTGTGTATTTTTCTGTTCCTTTCTTCCACAGTAATGTATTGATAGGTAGGACAGACAGTGATTTAGAGGGTCTAGGGAAAGGATAGAAAATAAGTTCTGGTAGCACTCCGAGGCAGGGTGGCACTCAAGAGAGGTGACATTTGTTTTGGGCAGAGGAGACTAGACAGTCAACACTTGCCCTACAATTGTACAGTTTTACAATGTTAAATAGCTAAACCAGCATTGAATAATGTGCTAAAAAGAGCTGGAAATAGCTGTTGTATTCAAGAACCCATTAGCAATCATAATATTACATGTGAAATTTAATGCTAAAAATGGAATACTATTCATATACATAAGTGTGTGTATACATGTATGTGTGTGTAAATTTCTTTAATGTCTAGTGTATAATTTCTTCATAATTTCCACTATAGAATTGAATTTTGGAGTGTATTTCCAACTTTTTGTCTTTTTGCTCTGCCGAACAAAACCAGTTTAGGGCTATTGAAAGTGTTCTGGAATAACCTGTAGTCTTCAATGAATAGGATGGCTACCCTACCTCAGATCACCTGGAATTTTTGCTAAATAAATGAATTTCAAAAAGACAGAATTGTTTTAATATTATCCATTTAATCTAGAACCTCAAAGAATAAGCTTTCATTTGTAAACGGGGGAGTCAGCTCAGTTAAACTCTGTTTCTTACTCTCAAATTAGCCTATGGAAAGGCACATTTAGTTGACAAAGAATTCATATGCAAGGGTACTTCAGAGAAATGAGGATGAACCTTCAAGAATGTGCCTGGAAAATCAAAGCAGCTAGGGTGTTATTAGCTCCTTGTCTCTGGCATGAATGCTTATCCTGGGTGGAAGTACTCCGGATTAAATCCACGACCCTTATTTACTAAACATGCACTCTCCCACTTAGCTATCCCCCAGATCTAGGAAACTTTTCAACCACAGCTTTCTCCAAGATAATCAAAAGAAGTGCTCACTCAAGTAAACAAATGTCCAAATAAGGTTACTTTCTTAGAGACTTTGAACATTATCCTTCTCTTACCTATGTACAAGAAAGTTAGGAAAAGTAGAAAAGTTATGTGCTCCCTTTTGACCAACGTTAAGGTACAAGTGAAAAACTTGTGACTTGGCATTAAAATGGTGCAAAAATATGATTAAGCCTCAAGAATGAGAGAAATAATTGATTGAAAAGTGAGCTAGATAGGTACCCGTGATAGCATGGAATATAGTTAAACATAGAGCCAAATCAGAAGTTAAAACACAACAAATTTAAAAGATAATCTAGGTAATTCCTTCATTTTAAAAAGGAGCAAAAAACCAAAGCCAGACCCAAAGGTATCAACCGACTTTTCCTTATATGAAACAGTTGTAATTGAGGGCCAGAGGAAAGTTAGCCAGGAAGCTAGGTCAAAGGATTTATTGTGGTATTGAGGAATTGGAAGAGAATTAATGGAAATGAGATCAGTGTGGTTAGTAAGAAGAATTGATGGAAGGATTCATGGAAGTTGGGGAGGTGGGAGAACATGAATAAAGCAAGAAAAAGCAAAAAAAAAAGTGATATTCCTAAAAAGAGAAAAAGCAGATGTTTTCTGCGGGGAGAGAGATGGTGTGACTTCTGAAGCGGAAGGGAGTCAAGGTGACATGTCTGTGTTAGACATGCTCAGTGTTTTCCTACTTCTCTGCGAGACAAGAATGAATTCAGAAGGAATCAGATTGGCTATGGAAATGGTGGTGTGGCCCACGTGGTAGAGCACCTACCCTAAGTAAAAAAAACTAAGGGAGAACACGAGGCCCTAAGTTCATGCCCCAGTACCAGCACAGAGAAAGATTGGTTAGAAGTAATCTTCCACTAGCTGTCAGAAGGGGCAAGGAAATAAAAGAGAATCTGGTGGGTGATCTAGATAAAAATAATGGAAAAATCTGATGAAGCCACTTCTCATTATAAAAATAATACTTATAATATATAGGAGTTGAACAATAATAGAAGCTACTGTATTTTTCCCCCCTTCCTTATACCATGATGTCAAAAGTCTTTCCCAGTTCAGCTAAGGGTATATAGTTTCACTCATTCAGGTTTTGCTTTGGTCTGTTTTTTGTTTTTGTAATGGAATGTGTAAAGAAGAATGTATTTTATATCCTGATTCTGGGGACTGCAAAGTCCAAAAGTATGGTGCCATCATCTGTTTGGCTTCTGGTGAGGGCTTCATGCTCCTTCAATGCGTGGTAGAAAGCCAAGGGCATGTGGGCACTTGTGAAAAAGGGAGAAAATGAATCATTCCTGCAAGTCTTTTCTTATGACACTGAACTCCACTTCCCAACAGTGGCACCTTGAAGCATAAAAGTTCAATACTGGTATTTTGGGGGGGGGGGGGGCGGTGACATGCTCAAGCCATAGCATGCTTTTAGTCTCTAAGCCATCCCTGTCTCTCCTGTTTTCTTTCAGACCTCACATTGGGTCCATCAGGAAAGCCTGTTGGAGATCTGCTCTCTGTGCTTTACCTTCTCAAGTCTGATTGCCACACTGGGTTTCAGGAATAGATTCCTCTGCAGAATTCCTGTTTCTGTCCTTCCTTCTCTCCTAGACCCTACCACTGTCAAATCTGCCCCCACACAAGAGCCTGGAAAAGTATATCTCGGATCATGTTGCTCGTGGTAGAATTTCTGAGGTGAGGCTCACTGGCAGGGTATTAGGTTAGTCAGGGTGCTATCATCAGGAGGAACTAATGTGGTTCTCACACAGGACACTAGCCAGTTTCTGTGAACACTACTGTTACAGAGTGCGACTGCCCATGTTCTTGGCTTCTTTGCCATTCAGTCTATCCCTCCTGCATGACACAGTCAAGATACCCTAACTCCAAGCTGAGCCTGTGGGGCTCTTTGATCTTGGTCTTCTGGCTAAAGAAGGTTCTTTATTTTACATGAAGAACCCATGTATTTTGTTACAACAGCAAAAGACAGACTAATACAACCCGATAGGCTCTTTCTCCATGAATGCACACCACCCGCAATGATGTCTCCCCTGTTACCACTCTACAAAGAGTTACCTGACTCTGCTTGTCCCAATTTGCCCACAATCCCTCTCTAATTATAATTATAATTATAGGACAACATGTTACATAATTTCCTTATTTTATTGTCTACATCCTCTCACTGCAGGGTGAACTTCATAGAGTCAGAGATTTACATCTGTTTTATTTGATGATGGACCTGGAGTGAATAGAGCTTGGTGTACAGTTCAACAAGAGAAGGATAGGAATAGCTAATAACTACGGAGAGTGTTTGGTGTGATAGCATATAGTGCTTTTATAGGTATGTATAGAAATTTATCGACACTTTCCAGCAGTCTTATGAGATGTGACTATCC